GGAAAATAATGGATGATCCTACAGGAAACTTTATGATTGTGTCTGGGAGTGCTTTCCTCAAACCACTGTAGACAAATACACATTTATTCCATTCATTAGCGTGGGTTTGCAAATATTATGATACTTAATTGTGAAAGCTTTTCCCGGGGAGGGATTTGGCTGCCCTGCCCTGACATTTACGTGCACATGTGTATTTATAGTTGTGATCTGTCTGGAATTTGCCTTTGTGGTTTTGTTTGCTCTTCAGCTCGTTCTGTGATCTGTGTCCTGTCGTTTTCTCAGTTCTGTTTGGGAGGTTTGAGAGGGGAGGAATGCAGAAGAAATGGCTTAATTTAAAGGGAATAATGAACACTGGACTGTTGACTTTCTTACTGCATAACAAGAGTACCATGACTTTACCCTAAAGAACAGGACAGGTCTGAGACTGCCCAGTTGGGCAGAAAATGGTTTTACAGAATTGAGCAAACAGAAGCAAAAGCTGCCCAGATACCGCTTGATGCTGGAGTGATGATGGTAACTTTTTTCTGTTTCTGTTGAAATGGAATGTAGCTGCTGTGCTTGAAGGCTGTGTAAACAAAGAGCTGATGATACAGATGGCTGGGCCATGATTGATATATCAGTCAGAGACACAGTAGAATGAGGAGAGAAGCTTTTGGGTGGGGAAGGTTTTTATCTGTTTTGGTTTTGAGGTGGTTTCACAGCCAGGTGTGTTACTGGATTTCTGTGTCCAGGAAGTTACTTGGCACTCGTTCAGGAGCAAGTTTAATCAAGTCTTACAGATTTGATGGATGGGTAGTTGAGTGAGTGGCTCCTGGGAGGTTTGAGTAAGCTCTGGGGCACACAGGAGTGCTGTTGCTCACAGCTCAGCCTTGCTCTGTCAGGCTGGTAACGCTGCCCCAACAAATCCCAGCACAGCAACCACCCCTCCTTCCAGTTAAAGGTGAAAGTCCACACGGGAGCTGAGCACGCTGAGCACATCCCACATCCCAGTGTGCCCTAGAACGAGGTGAGCACTCCCTGCAGGGCCTCAGGGCACCAGGGGACTCAAATGCAAGGGCTTGCTGACAAAATGCCCTCTGGGGTTTCCAGGTTCTGCTGGAAAAGAGGAGCACAACGAGGTAGAAATGTAGAAACTTGTAAAAAGCAAAATAATCCTATAAAGGACTTCAGATAACACAGTAGGGAATGACCTCACCCGGATTTGGGGGGGACACTTGTGCAGGCATTTCAACAAAAAGTATTCCAGCATATGAGAAGCAAAATCTTTTCTCACTCTAGAATAGTTTTTCCTAGGTGTATTTGGTAACAAAGAAGATAGGACTGTAGCAAGAAAACTAAATATTTACTTGTATATTATGAGGCTGTTTTGTTTCCTGTTCACCTCTGCTTATTTGGAGGGGCTGCACTTCTGCAGTGCCAGAAGTCCTTGTTGAGGAGAGTCCACGAAGGCTTTTCCTTTGCTTTTGATAGTAATCCTGAGGAGGAATATGGGATAAAACAACAACATGAGCAGTAAAGAATTGCAAATATCAGATATTTGGAGTTCTGAAAATCTGTGATTTATTATCTTTCCTTGAAGCTGCTCTGATGAGAGAAGATTGTAAGATGTAAAAACTTACCACTCTTAGCAGATGGATTTCACTGTCTGAAGAAGTGCTGGTATGATCAGATGTAATTGTAATTAGCATGATTACTAGATGTCCATCTTGTGCACACTAGTCTTTTAAGAATAATGAATATTAAAAAAAAAGTTTTCCTTACTTCTAAGAGAGTCATTACAAAGTGTTTAAAGAACTCATTAAGCATGTGAGAGGAACTGCAGCCTACATGTATTTCCAAAAGATCTCTGGTTGTAGGATAAAAGGAAGGTCTCAATATGGAGAAAAAGAAGGAATATGCTTTCTGGAAGGAGATGTTGCAGTTTCCCATTCCAGGAGATGAGATTCCAGGCTCTAAATTCATCCTGACATGAAGATCTCGTGCAGGGCAGGAAGTAGAAGTGATGCAGTCACTGCTGTAAATCCCACTCAGAATTCTAACTAATTCAGTTTTTAGGGAATATCTTACATAATTAGGGTATAACTCAGCACTTTGTCCAGAATAGAGGGAGAGAGAGGATGCCTGAGCACTGAGTCACCGTGATTGTCAGCAAACAGTCCCTGGGAACTGTGCTGCAGAATTTGTTCTGTAAGGGTTGCAAATTAAGGTGAAACTTTTTGGAATCCTCGAGGAATCCTCGTTACTGAGGCTTTTAATGTAGCCTGTGAAATTAAATAATATGTTTTACCAAAGGGAGGGAGGGGATGGCTCACTAAGGCCTGCTTATTGCACTGCTTGAATATTCTTTTGATATTTAAAAGGAGACACGTGTGTTTAATGTTGTAATATTGTCCAAAGGTTAAACTGCCCAGTAAAACGTGTAAGGGAAGAGCTCCCCAGGGAGGGGGGACTTTGCTTCACATGGAATCTGCTCAAGTCCTCTTGGAATTCCAGCTGGTGACCTATTGCTTTCGGAACTCCACAGTGGAGAAAATGTTGATTTTTAAGGTGTGGGTTTTGCAGGCTTTGTCTGAAATACTTGCTGTAAATTAACTAAAGTAGCACTCCCAAAATAAAGATGAGAAGGGTGATTTAGTAAAAGATGAGCTTTATTCTATGTGGAACAGCTTCCTCCTTCAGCTGTAAAGATAATTGATTCTGTAACCTTGTGGCTCCCAGTGTGCCCAAAAAATGCAAGCCCTGAGAGATTTGGTGACAAGGGGAGCTGATTCCTGCTTTCAGTACCCTTTGGCCTCTGTTACATTTAAAATAATAGCTGCATAAGTTTTTGCTTTCTCAAATACTATTACAGAAATTGGAAAAGAACAGATAAGATGCGAGGATTACAGGGAATGACACAATTTAAAAAGAGAAAGAAAAGTTCCAAATCTTTTTCTAGTACCCTCTGGTTAAGGAGACACTTTCTGTCTCTTCTGATCAGTGCCTTTCGAGTTAGAGCAGGTTCTAGAAAACAGAAAAACACACATAATGCTCCCTGAGTCAGAGGATTAATGGGTTTTATTGTTAGAAGGAAGGCAGTTGACCTTAGTTCGTAATAATAACTTCGTAACTGAGCCTAGAAATGTCTTCACATGGGTAACTTCTAGATATGGCCAAGGCTGGTGTGTTTTAATACTTTGTTCCAGGGAGGAGTAATTTTTCCAGCTGTATTAATCAGTCTTGAAGTTTATTCCCCTCCTGATAAGTGGGGACAATTTATTGACCTGTAGCTTTACAAAAGCAAACTTGCAGGTTAGAACTTGATGGCATTTTCCCTACAGAGCATGAGAAATACTTCAGTAGTAAAAAAATTGCGCTGGATGTGGTAAAACAAATGCACAAGAACCAGGTATTTTCCTGTTATTAACACCTCCTCAGAGGAAAGGTATTTGCTGTGCTTGTCCAATAATCTCGATGTTTTCCTCTTCTGTAGAGGAAGGCAGGCTGGGATGGGAGTCAGATCAAAACAGAGCAAAACTGCGGTGGTTTGGGTTGCGGTAAACAAAGTGGGATTTTTTTTTTTTTTTTTGCTGCTCAGTAGTCCGTGACTGCAGTCATGTGGGGGGGGGGCTGGCTTGATTTTATTGTTAAACAAATGAAATTACACTTTCGGAAGGTTTGTGGTTAATTTTGGGGGTAAAACCCTCCCTTACCCTCCTGCCGGAGAGGCTCCAAAGCCGATGTTTTTTGGGAAGGCGGTGTTTGTTAACAAACAGGCGAGTCAAACGCTGTAATGGCTCCCTGAGGGCACCGCTCCCTGAGGGCACGGCTCCCTGAGGGCACCGCTCCCTGAGGGCACCGCCGTTCTGAGGGGGCCGCTCGGCGGCCTTTGGGGCTGCGGCTGGGAGGCGGTGTGGCCGCCTTAACCTCCCCCCGTGGGTGTGGGAGGGTTTGGGGAGGCTGTGGGGAGGGTTTTGGGGAGGAGGCAGGATCTCCCCGTGCGCAGCCGCCGGGGCCGGGGAAGTGACGTGCGCGATTAGTGGTGGTGGTTCTAGAAAGAGCCGAGACGCTTCGAGCGCAGGGGAGGGCGCTGGGCAGGGCCGGGGCTGCCCCGGGGATCGCTTATAAAGGAGCTCCGCGGGGGGAGGCAGGGCCGGAGAAACCGCCGAGCGTTTCTAGATGGATCGCGGAGTTTGCTGATTTACAGCGCTTCTCTCTCTCTCTCTCTCTCTCTCTCCGCTTGGATTCCGCGCCTGATCGCTTGTTTTTCCTCCTTCCCAGCGTCTCCACCTTGCCAAGAAGACGCTGGACGCTGCTTGCTTTGTAGCGGGGAAAATCTGAGCTCCTCCGCCGCTCAGGATGGGGAAGGATTATTATTCTATCCTGGGGATCGAGAAAGGGGCTTCTGACGAGGATATCAAAAAGGCTTACAGGAAACAAGCCCTGAAATGGCATCCGGACAAGAACAAATCTCCCCACGCAGAAGAAAAATTCAAGGAGGTTGCAGAAGCTTACGAAGTGCTGAGTGATCCCAAAAAGAGAGACATTTATGATCAGTTTGGGGAGGAAGGTATGTATGTCTCTGTATTTTTGTGTTTCTCTGATCAGTCACTTCCATTATGTTAAAAGAGGCGAAACAGAGAGGAAAACACAGTGTGTGTTGATTTTTAGGCAGTGTATTTGTTTGATTTGTCACTTTTTATATTATAAAATGCATTACCGGGCCTTAATGCTGATACAGTTTCAATTTCTTATTTTAATTTTTTCTTCTTAATTTTATAAATCCCAAATATTTGATGGGCAAAAAGTTACCGAACAGAAAAAGTTCATATCGCTCATAAACAGTTTTCTGGATCTCTTATCTTGCACTTTTGAGATGAAATGCAAAAGAGATGTGTTCTTTTTTTTTAAATTTTTGCCTGAGGGGGCAATCTGCTTGATCTGGGCAAGGCAGTCCTTCTGAGCAGAGGCCCAGGTGTCCAGTCCGTAGTTGTCCTTGGCTTTTTGCCTGGAGAGGAAAGAATTTGGCTGATGTCATGAAATACCAGACCAATTTTTTAGCTTTAATTGTAAACAGTGATAACATGCCAAGAGAATGAGGCCTCAGAAATGTCATATTTATCCTAAAATGGTTATCTGCAGAGGATGGCTTTTTTTTTTTTTTTTAATTTATTTTTGACCAACATGACTTTCAGTCTTATGATGGAGCAACAGAGGAAGTCATTAACGTCCCTTGCCATAAATGTATCAGAAATTCCACATGAAATAGCGGCTTCCCTCGTGGCAATTGTCTGCTCGTTGCTGTTCACTCAGGGCCATGGTTTACTATTATACAGGAGGACACTGAAATAATTTGTTGCCATTACAAAGGAGGGCACTTTGGGGAAAAGTACAAAGTAGGAGTTGTTGGAGTGGTGAATCTGGAGGTTTCTGAGCTCTGAGAGTGCAATCAGTAGTTGTAAGGGAAAAGGCAGAGAGCTGAGTTTTGTGGGAAGAAGGAAAGGTTGTGTTTTTACAGCCAGGAACTTGATGTACCTTCTTGGCCAGCTGTTCCAGGAGATGTCCTTCTGATGTCACAGATTGGTCTCCTTGTTTGACATTAGCAGTGCTGTGACAGAAGGATTTACTGCATGTTGCTGAGTACTCCTGATCTGATCTGGTTTTGAGATGGGGAAGGCATTCTGTTGTCTTACTTGGATACAAAAAAAACCCCAAGCATTGTAAGTTTAGAAATAAAAGGCTCATAAGAAGACTTCCAGTCTTTTCATCTTCAAGGTTTGAGAAAGTATCCTGAAAGGATCAGAGCAGAAGATCACTATTAGAAGGAAATAAAATACTTGACTAGGAAAGAGGCATTGAAGAAAATTGATTTTTAGCTGACTTTTAGCTAGGTTTGGAATGGGAGCACAGGAAGTACAAGGGACTGTCCAGAGAGAATTGTAAAGGAAGTGTTAGCAGGAAGGAACAAGATGTAGATCTTTCCTTGAGGAAGATGGAATAAAAAGAACAAAGCTAATTGAGAACCTTGTGATTTTTTTGCCCAGAGACACTGATAGTGTATACAAGATTCTTGTACCCAAGTGGATCTTAGTAAGTTCTAAGATATTTTTATTTGTAGCTGCTTTGTTATTGACAATGCATTGCAGGCAAACAGAGGCAAAACTAATTAACAGTGAATTGATTCTGAGTTATAGAGACTGTGGAAAATGTTGCATATGTGAGAGTGCATAATTTTCCCCACAAAGTGATCTTGTGGAAGGTTGCAGTTCCCTACAGACTTTGCAGAACTAGAAGAGGACAAATCAAGCAGACCTGTCCTCTGCTAATTCGTTAAAATAACCATTTTCAGTCACATGGAATAAAACTGGCAATGTCAGAATAGCTGCTCTTCTGAAGCCCTTCTGGAGCTTCAGAAACTTTGTTGCTGTTCAGGCTGTTGAATTACTGTTGGTACTGCACATTCTCCTGGTGAGCCCTCACTGGAAAGCAGACCTTTGGCTCTGCTGTAAATACCTCTTTGACTCACCACTTCTGATATCATTCCACTCTACAGTAGCAAAGCTCATCCTAATACTCAATTTGTTTGTAACTTTGCTTCTTTGTCCCACTTAGGTCTGAAAGGAGGAGCTGGAGGATCCGATGGACAGGGCGGTACCTTCCGCTACTCCTTCCACGGCGACCCCCACGCCACGTTTGCGGCTTTCTTCGGTGGCACAAACCCCTTCGAGATCTTCTTCGGGAGGAGGATGCCCGGTGGCAGAGACACCGAAGACATGGAGGTGGACGGTGACCCCTTCGGATCCTTCACCACCTTCAGCATGAACGGCTTCCCGAGGGAAAGGAACACAGTTGGCAGCCAGGTCCGCCGGAAACAGGATCCGCCCGTGATCCACGAACTCAAAGTGTCCCTGGAGGAGATTTACCACGGCTGCACCAAGAGGATGAGGATCTCCCGCAAGAGGCTCAACCCCGACGGCAGAAGTGTCCGAACAGAGGACAAAATCCTCACCATCGAGATCAAAAGAGGGTGGAAAGAAGGCACCAAAATCACCTTCCCCAAAGAAGGCGACGAAACCCCCAACACGATTCCCGCCGATATTGTTTTTATCATTAAGGATAAACCTCACTCTCATTTCAAGAGAGATGGATCAAACATTGTCTATCCTGTTAAGATCAGTTTAAGGGAGGTGAGTTCCTCTTCTGGTAAAGCTCTGCGTGTTTGAAGTTGTTAACACCATACGGTGGCAACTGGGAAGTTTTAGGATTTGGCGTTTGGGTGTCTCTTTTTTTTTTTTAAATTAGGGTTTTGCTTTTGTCAGTGTGTAAACTACCACAACACACATTTACAGTGAAAGCAATAGCTGTGTGCTGATAAAAATGTTGTATTATTTCTTAGCTGTTCACTGTAGAGATGGAAGGGTAAGAGCAAAGGTTGATAAATCTTTAGTCTTCAATCATTACCTTTCTAGCTAATGATGATTAGGCTGAAGTGGCAGACACCACAACAAATCCTATATAATATGCTCCTTGCTGCTGGGATATGGTTGCTATTTCTGTAGGATAAAGTAGAAATGCCTCAAATATTTTCATTGCCAGCAGATTCTGTGTCTCCCTTTTTATGTCATGAGTTATTTCAGTGTGATTTCAAACTACACAGAGATTGATTTCATGAAGATAAATAATCGTGAACAGGTGTAAGAGGAGCTATATATAACAACAAAAACGGTATAGCTTTTTAAAATTCCATTCCAAGTCAAAACATAAGTGGTTTTTGAAGGAAAAGTCAGAAAGGCAACTTCAGAGTTGTTAAAAGTCTGGAGCCTCAACATTAATCATCATTTAAAAGATAATGTGGCTGTGTGTAATGTAGTTTTTCTTCCTAATTAGTGTCAGGTTAAGAAGTAAATTCTTGCTTGCATTATAAGCTCTTTGAGAAGGGAGCTTAATGTACACAAAGGATTCTGAACTAAAATAAGTGTGAACTGGGGTGAAGCACTGGAAGTAGTGTGAGGGAGGGAGAAAAGACTATTTAATGGTAATGTGGGTAATACAGTTTCTTCATAGAGAAAAACCGACTTGGACTCATTCAATTGTTATGTAAATTGGACATTATCAGTGTAGAGTAAGTGTGCTGAAGCTGGAGGAATGAAAATCTCATTATCAGAGATCCTAGTAATGAAAACAAACTGTTGGATGAAGCAGGAGGTCTAATGTTTTGATTTCGGTACACCAAAATAATTGTTGGTTTTATTTGGAATATCACAGATATTCACTGAACACAGCTCTGAAATTTGATGTGCCTCTGCTTATAGACACTCAGATGTCCTTGTGCAATTTGATACAGGTTGATAGCGTATTAGAATAAACCCCTGTGCAATGTAAACAAACGAAATGAAATGGGAATCTCAATTTCCAATGGCACTTAGAAGACTGACATCTCTAAAAAATATGAGGAGTTCACTCTGCTCAGCTCTCTTATTATTTGATAAGGCCTTTGAAGGACACAGAAGCTCAGTTACCCTCCAGTGGCCGTTGTGTAAGATCTGTAAATGCAGTGACACTCAACGGCAGATTGCAGCCTTCTCTCTTGAACAGAGGAATTTGAATTTTGACGTCACAGTAGAAACACTGTTGAGGATCCTGGTCGCTTCTAAATATTCCAGATTCATTTGCAGGTACAAAAAATAAAAAACCAAAAACCAAAACTCTGACCAATTTCTTCTGTTCCCATCTTTGTTTAGGCTCTGTGTGGCAGCTCGTTCAACGTGCCCACGATAGAAGGAAGAACCATCCCCATGACGGTAAACGAAGTGGTAAAGCCCGGCATGAGGAGGAGGATTATAGGCTATGGTTTGCCATTCCCCAAAAATCCTGACCAACGTGGAGACTTAATTATAGAGTTTGAAGTCGTTTTCCCAGATAACATTTCTCCAGCCTCAAAAGAAGTGCTTAGGCGAAATCTTCCCGTTTCGTAAAAAATGCAGGACTGTGTTTGTCAACAGATTAAAAATAGGACACTGGAAATGCAGAAGACTGGCAAGTCTGTGCTTTAAAAGTGCAATCTGTAACAACTAGTGGAATCTTTGTTTTGTTTTGTTTTTTTTTGTTTTGTTTTGTGGGATGGGTGGGGGGGGAGTACTGTAATGCTGCATGAGAAGAAAAGGGTTCAAGTACAAGTCATCCAGGTGAAAATTCTGCAGTAAAATTTACAGGGAAAACCACTCCTTTTGTTTTACATCTTCCTAATCAGCGAAATTTATTCATTATTTTGCTTAATATAAAATGCAGTAATTTTTTACAAAGTCAGTGCATATTTCTGATATAGTACTTGAGCCTCCAAGTACTCTATTTCTTATATCCTTACCCTGCCTATACCATTACACATTTATACAGAAGTTGGAGATAGCAGTAGAAATACACAGATATATAAATATTTTCAAAGAGCAAAACACGAAAGAGATCATTGGAGTTTGTTGCCTTCCACTGCACAAAGCAGAGGCTGGAAAAATCAGGTTGGGCTCCTGAACCACCCCCAGTGCAACGAAAGCATTCTCTGTATTGCCCCAGGAGTGTCAGCACTGCACTGTGAGCACAGGGCACATGGAATTCCAGGCCCCTCAGACCAGAGGGCGAGTCTGGAACCCTGGCAGTGCAGGACCAAGTCGGGGTGCACTGTAACTGGAAGTCTTGGGAGCTGACAGGTTGGAGATTGAGAGATGTTCAATAGACTGGAAAAGAGAAAACACTGTTTCTCAAGAGGGACAAGAAGGAAGTTAGTCAGCTGCACCTCAAGCCATGGTAAGGTGATGGAAAAAATCCCCCTGGAATGCATTTCCAGCAGGTGATCAGGAATGTTCAGCACCGCTGTACAGTGGGGAAATCTTTCTTACCAATCTCATTGCCATCTCCAGTGAGCTCTGGGGGATGATGTCAGGAGAACAGTCTGTGTTGTTTGCCTTTTACACCTGCAGGCAGGCTGATGAAGTACAGGTCAGATGAAGTGGAAAGTGAGGTGGATTTAAAAGCTGGCCAAATAAGTGGGCACAAAGGGCAGATAGAGGCGAGTCAGTACTGGTGTACCCAGCGGCTCAGAACTGGGGCCAGGGCTATCAGCATCATTAACAACCTGTATTATGGGATGGAGTTTCCAGATCATATCAAACATGGGAGGAGTGGCTGATGTCCTGCCTTTCAGAGGGACCCCAGCAGGCTGGAGAGCTGGACAGAGGATTCTCAGGAAGTCCAGCGAAACCGACTGTGAGCCAGCACTGCAGCCTTGTGGCAACAACGGCCAGAGCTCTGCCAGCCGATGGAGGGAGATGATCTCTGGCAGCCCTGCTGAGGACATAGCTCGAGTGCTGGATGCCCCAGCCCTTGGAAGATACAAATTTAGTGGAGTGGCTCAAGCAAAGGATCATCCATGAGAGGCTGAGGGAGCTGGAGCTCTGAGCTTGGGGGAGATCTTGGTACCCGATGGCTCCTTGTGGGGACCCTCTGAAAGCATTTGGCAAGGGCAGGTGGGCAGAGATCATGCTGATCTCAAGTACTCCTTATTTTCAAAGGCCAAACTTTACTCCACATGAAGAAGAAGAAGAAGAAGGAAGAGCCCAGTTCCTAAGGAAAGTTTGCTTGAAACACAAAGTGGGATAGGGGTTGCCCATAAACTTTGATAACTGAGTCTTTCTTGAATCCAAACATGAGTTAGTTGTCTTTTAGGGTTTCAAAGATGCATAGAGAGATGGAGAGCCCTCTGGAATAGTCTAGTTTTCTAATACAATAATAGGGCTGGTTCCCTTGATTGTGGCATGGTATTGGGGAAAGAAATGCCTTGTAGCCATGCTTTATTACTTGAGTTTAAAACCAGAATTCAGTGCTTTAACAGTACTTTAAAAGGGGTTTTTGTTGTTGTTGTTGTTGTTTTTCATAAGAAAATATGTAAGATTTGCTGTCAGTCTTTTGCCTGTGGAAATTGAGAAGTTACCTGCTGTCTTAGGTAGCCTAAGAAATAGCAGTGTTACAGATGTGATTCTCTGCGGGAGAGTAAATCAGATGGAAGCTGGGAATTTAATTTACAATAACTGTCCAATGAGCACAAGAAGAATCCCATTTCTGTTACTCAAAGGAATGGAATTCCCGGGAGATATTGTTCAAATCAAATTTTTTGACTACAGTATCAGTTGTAGCTCTAAATCCTACAGGGAGTAAACAATTGCTGGAGCAGTATCATCACAAAGAAAAAAACAAACAACTAAATTGCTGCTTAGTGCTTCTGCATATTGTCAACACTATATATTGTTTGTTCCCCAAATTTCCATTTCAGTGTGTTCCGTATTGCATTTCTTAACACGTGGTTTTTAAGTCAAAAGTGTAAAGTTGGGTTTTTAACATTCTCTTCTATTTTGTTACGATGGCAAATGCTACAGGCTCCACGACTTCAAAAGCATATCATCCTAAAATACCTGTTTGTCAGTTCAAGAGCTAATAGACCCGAGCATTTTGTAATCCAGGATCTTGTAATGACAGTCCAACTTGTAAAAAAAAAAGTTACAGCAACTAGGACTATTTTTTGTAACTATCTTCAGGCAAGGGAGTAGTGTTACATTGAAGAATTGCAGTATCTTGTGTATTTACAGGTGTATATAGATTATATATATATATGTATAGCAAACTAAACTTTTCCAACTGTTTTCAAGCTCAAAAATATAAAACTTCTAGGACTGGTATGAAATAAATGCTTGTATTTCTTTTTCTTATGGAGAGTTGACAAAGTATATGTTTCGGAGAACAGCAATGTAGAATGACTTCAAAATCTGAGAGGAAGCATTCATATCTATCTAATCCAGGATTCACCAAAAAATTAATATTTTTCTAATCCAAAATGTGCTTAAAAGCTATGTTTTAAAACCCACTTGATTATTTAATAAAGGCTACTTGGGAGAAAGGAAGCAAAGTACTCAGTCACCTACTATATTTGTAACTCCTGAAAGACGTGGAAATAAAATGGTCGTTCCTGAAGTTGGGATGAGGAGGGTTTTTGGTCTCCTGAAGGTTGTTTAGGTGCCATTGAAAGTAAAAATCATTTAGTTACTTTGAAGTTCATCCAGCAAGTCTGTGAAAAACCTCTGCTTCTGCAGATCCTTTTTGAATCTCCCCACCGTGGATCTTTAGGGGAACCTCAAGCTGTTGGAAAGCGGGACAGAGCTCCCTTCCAACCCTTCCTCCTTTTTGCCAGGCAATGGAACTCTGATTGCTGCACAGCAGGCCCTGTGATGTCCCCAGGGGATGGGGATTCCCCTCTCCCACTGAGCCACGGGAGCTATGCTGAGAGCTTGTTGGAACCTGTTGAACAAATTCACTCTGTTCCCTCCCAGCGTGTGCATCTTCTGTGCTGGTCTGACTCACTGGTAACTGATACCTGACTCACTGGTGACGTGCTTTGGGGGTAAAACAGGTTTTACTCTACCAGTGACATTTTCTAGAACTTTAGAGTGAAATTCTGTGCACGTGAATTCGTGTGCTAGACCTAAGAAATACATGGACATGTAAATAGCATTGAGTCGATTTTCCTTTTTGGTCGGGCAATGCTGGTCCTCCTTTGCAGCTGACTTTAATAGTTCTTCCTGTAGGGCTTCCTGAACAAATCCTCTAGAACCAGGCTGTTCATCAGAAGGTCTCTTACTGGTTGGCACAAACTGGGCAAAGAGCAACACTGATCTCCTCATGAAGTACAGAATCTCAACTCTTCATTTGTCAAATTACCCAGCAATGGACTTTTAGGTGGCATGATTTGGTTCCTTCAGGCTTCTCCAGTTAATTGTTCTCTTATTTAAAGAGTGAAAGTAGAGATGTGCTGTTGATCCCCTTGGGCACAGAAGGTATAAGTGGCCCGTGCTTGTTTTGTTTCCCTGGAATTACCGGCTTCCCCCAGGGAGGAGCTACAACAACAATCTTGTTAGTCATGCCTGATTGCTTTATCGAGGGCAAATTACCATCCTCACAGCCCTGCTGCCTTACCTTCAAAAAACTCCAGACCCCACCCAGCCCTGAAATACCAGATGGATACATCATGTGTAGTGAAACACCCTTTAGATTTTGATAGTGACATTTCATGTCCAATGACGTTGCTGTTGGTTCCATGTTCTCCACCAGCTGCACAGCTTTTGCACGCCAGGATTCTCATTTCCCTTGTCTGGGGGTGAGAAACTGAAGAATGAACACCTGTAGTATGCAATATTCTGGGATAGACGGATGAAACCTATTTTTTTTTCTTTTTTTTTTTTTTTTTCTGGTGGTTTTTCTTTCCAAAACCAAGGCTAAATTTAAATTAAATGCTCTAGGTACTCTCTGATCAGATCTGCTCAGAGCATTTGACTCTGGGTTGCCTCATAGCAATTCATTCTCTGCGCCTGCCTGGTCTGACTCCACGTGCCACAATCCTTTTTTTTTTTTTCTTCTGCAGTGGTTTGTCTATTTTATTCTGAAAGGCAGATGATGTGGTAAGGCAGTGCTGCTTCTCTCTGCAGCTTCCTAGCACATCCCTTTAGAGGTGCTGGATGTCACTCTTCACATCTGGAGTGGATTCAGCACTCCAGTGAAAACAGTGAGTGTAGTTTGGAGCACAGCTGTCTCCTGTAAGGTGAACACTCCATGGTAGAAAACGAAACATTTAAAATCTGTTACATGTTACACTTTTCAAGTATTTCTGTGTTAAATATCAGTATTTCAAAGCTGGAAATAGGTTTTTAAACTTTACCTGTTAACCTTTGCTTTATTAACCCTTAAAGATTCATACTCTGCGTGCAGTCATGATAAATAAGCAAAGGTTGGCTGCAGTCCCTGTATACCTTCATGGTTCCTTTTATGTCCTGGCTGTAAACCTAGTCAATACTAGTAAATACTTAGTCCTTGGCTAATTCCTGATCTAGTGAGAACATCGCGATCCCACTGAGGTGAGCGCGGTTCGGAGCACAGCTGTCTCCTTTTTAGGCGAACATCTACCTTCGCTCATTATCCTGAGGCAGCGAGTGGGAAGGTGGCGGATTCCCCCGCTGTGGCCGAGGCTGGGGGGTCAGAACAGGGTCAGAGCTGCTCGGGCCGAGGGCTCAGCCTGGGAGGGCTCCGCGGCTGGGGATGTTGTGGGGGCGGGCGGGGAGGGCTCGGCTGTGAGGGCTCTGCCCGTGGCTCGGCCGGGAGGGCTCGGTTGTGAGGGCTCGGTTGTGAGGGCTCTACTCGTGGCTGGGCCGGGAGGGCTCGGCTGTGAGGGCTCTACTCGTGGCTCCCCGTGGCTGGGCCGGCCCCGCGGGCCGTGTCGTGTCGGGGCGGGGCCGTACCTGCCGTACCCGCGATGGCCGCGGGCCGGGCCGGGCCGGGCCGGGGCGGTGCCGCGCCGGGGGCAGAGTCCGGCGCGGCCTCAGCGCGGCCTCGGCGCTGAAGATGCCGCTGGGGCTGCGGAGCAAGAAGAAGGACAAGAGCAAGGAGACCTTCAAGCTGGTGGAGAGCGAGGCTCCGTCTCCATCCCCGTCCCCCGCGGCGGTCCCGGCCCCGGCCCCCACGCGGCTGCAGTTCCACGCGCAGCTGGCGCACGGCAGCCCCACGGGCCGCGTGGAGGGCTTCGGCAGCGCCCGCGAGCTGTACGGCAGGATCGGCCAGGCCTTCGGCATCGACCCCCAGCAGGTACGGCCGCCCCCGCCCGCCGGCATCCCCCGCCGCTGCCGCTTTCTGCCGGGGAAAGCATCCCCTTCTTGTTCCGAGAGAGCGTCACCGCTCGGGGAAGGACATAAACAGAGACATCCATGGTGCTCGCGAGCGAAACATCCCCGGTGCCTCGGTGAACCTGTGACACGGCTCATGGGCCCTGCTTAAGGGAAGGGGACATACCCAGCATGAAGGCAAGCCGGAGGGGAGGTGGTGTAAGTGCCCTAAATCCCACGACATTTTTTAAATTTCAGCTGAATGTGATGTTTAGCAATTTTTCTGCTTTATCGGGTGGTTATTTTTAACCTCACTGTTGGAGTGAGGTTATTTGAGTCTGTAACAAACTCGGTTTTTTTTTTTTTTTTTAATCCTGCTGCCTTTTTGATCTTTTTTTGTTTGGTTTGTTTTTCCTAAGCCGCCTTCTAAACATTTTTTTGGATAACGATTCATTTGCGTCTGTAAATGCATTGTTTTCTCTTAGTTAAAAGGCAGTGGCCCTGTTAGGTTCTTCCTACGTGGTCCTGTGAACCTTGACCCCTGAGTGGGAAAGCGAAACAAAGTGCTGACCTCTCACTGTGCCTACGTGTGTCTGGACAGCTTTACTTGTTCCTCTCCTTGTTACTGACATTTTTTTTAAAGTTGTAAAGCTCTCAGAGTTTGCTGTGGCCTGAGGTAGCAGCGTTTCAAACAGGAAAAGTGGCAGTAGCAGCGAGTTCAGTTTAATCGGTCGCTGTTGCATTAAGTAATTAAGAGGTGCCAGTGCCAGGCAATGCACCTACTTTCCAGATCCTCCCAGCTGCTTTCTGACCTTCTGCTGCTTTGTTTGCTTTCCATACTGAGCTGCTGGTCCCCTTTTGTCCTGCTCCGTTTCAGTTCTACCTTTTACTCTCCGCTTCTCATAGTTGCCAGATTGCCTGTTATTTTAGTTTCCCTCCTTTCAGCGTTGGAATTTCGGCTGCACCGGCTTGAGAAAGAACAGTGTTCGCAAGGAAACTTAATTTGGTATGAATGGTGCTCTCCTGTTTCTCCTGCTAAATGTATAATCTGACACCCTCCAAGGTTTTAGAGGAAGCACCACACGTTTCATGGGCTTGCATTGCCAGCCTTGAGCCAAACTGGAAGAGTTTCTTATTTCTTTTTCCTCTCCACTGTTCCGTTCCTACGTGTGGCTTTTTGGGTCTTTTTTGTTGTGGTTTGTTTGGTTGGTTTGGTTTGTTTTTAATGTGGTTTCTGGTAGAAATGGATGGAGAGTTATTGCTGGAAGCACTGAATGTTAAATCTTTATGAATTCAGTTGGCTTTAAGAAGCTGAGCTGTACGAAATGAAGGTCATGATCAAAAATATTTCCTGTCGTAAAAGTGGCAGAGCAGAGTAAAGAACCTGGACCAGAGGGTTTTGGATGGACAAGATGAAATAGATCAGTGAGCAGCAAGAACTGCCAGGAAATGAGAATTTATTAGAATTTATTTGAAGTGGTATTATCTGTTAGTCAAAGCTGCTTTTGGACAGATAGTGTGGTGTAAAGAATAACGCCAGAAGCTACATCTCCTCACACTGACAGACACTGGGGCGCTCAGATGCCACGTGTGGGTGTTCCCTGTGCAGGACAGGTGGTGTGGGCTGGCTGTGCTGGAGCTGTGGGCAGGCTGATACCCCAGTGCCTTTGGAAACAGGCACTATCACAGGGATCTCCACCTCGGAGTGACACAGGTGGAAAAAAGGGGGAGGGGAAGGGAGGGAAAGAGCTCGGTGTGGAGAGCATTCGGAGAACTTTTGCAGAAGTAAGTACATTTAATCTCATATGTGTAGGCAAGGGTGTGCATTCGTGGATAAGTTCCTGCCTAAGTGTTTTCATACGATTGAGGACGAGCTGCATTTGTAATCTCTCACTTCTCCTTTGACTTGGCATGACTCATTCCCTCTTTGGATCCCATCTCACAGGAGCAGCTGAGTTCAGCTCCTGCTGGAGAATCCTTTCCAGGTTCTGTGACAAGAGAGGTTTCTATAAAACACAGTTTTTGTTGCACAGACACTGACAGGAACTGCTGTGCAGACCTGGATCGTGAGCAGGGTAGGATGGGGACAGGACAAGGCACGGGATGCTTTAAAGGGGTTGCTCCTTCACTCCTGGGATGTTTGCTGGGTATCTGTGGAGCAGTGAGACGTAACTGCAGCTTTCTGAGGCTTTTCCTGTACTCATCTTTCTTGTCTAGGTATTTTATTCCTCATCCACCTTCCTAGGTGAATATATCCCAGTTACCCCTTTTGAATCTGATATTTAGCATGCTTTTCTGCCTGCCTCTCTGACTTTTACTATGACCAGCATTCCTTCTTTTCCTGGTGCAGCGTTAATGTTCTTCTCCACAGGGAGGAGGAGCAGGAGAGGATGTGGTTTCTAGCAATGGATTGCCTGTATCATTAATATGAGTGCTTATGTTTGAGGTAGAACACGTTGTTCCTGTCTTTTAATTTAATTGCTTCAACAGGCTTTCAACAGGCAAGCACAGATCTAAAAAAAAAATGTATCTGGATGCAATTCTTAACTAACGACACATGTATGTTTTTGTTTGCATGAGTTAAAGCCCAGCTGTAGCCAGGCTGTTTCTCCATCAGGTGAGGGGGGAAGGGCTCATCACAGAGGCTCTGTGGATTTTCGGGTTGTGTGCTCGTAATTGGCACTTGGGATGAGTTTGTGTGAGTGGAAATGTGAAGTGTGGTGGGGCTGGGGAGGTGATTGAGTGGTGGTGGGGCTGGGGAGGGGATTGAATGCTCAGTGGGTGTGTCTGTCCCGTGGAGGTTGGGGTTTCTTTCCCAGTGGAAGGAATTTTGCTTCACGAGGGGAATGAATACAGGAAAAGAGAGACCCTGCAGAAATGCAGCTCCCTCTGTCTCCTCCAATAACTTCCGTAGAAGTATTTGATTTAAACCTGTTCAATTTAAACCTTTGTGGAAGACTTCTGACAAACAAGCCACAGAGACTCGATTTTCTGAACAAAACTGCCCTTGCAGCAAGAAAGAAATCTGAAGTGTGTTTTAGAGAAAAGGGTTAGCCTGTGAAATCCTCATCCTCATCACCGCGGTGGGGGAAGTTTTGTTGTGTGTGCTTATCTGCTGAAACAAACTGCTCACAACCTCGCCTACAGATTGAAGGCTTTCTGGAGCAAACAACACTCCCTGCAAACCACCTCCTCCCAGCCTTGTGGCAGCAGTTGCCTGCTTGCTGGTTCCCCAAGCAGCGCTTAAATGTCACCCCCGTGTTAGGCGTTGATGCTTGCTGTGTCGATTTTCAAATACTTTTACTGAAAGTGGAAATAATGGTATGGAAGAACTCTTAATACTTGTGTGCTCTGGGTTTTGGGGAAAAAACCAAACTGAATGCTTATTTTATCAAACTCTCTGAATGTATTTGGGGAGGCAAAGTTGCATACCTGATGTAGCACCACAAGCACAGCAGGGTTTGGAGGAGTTGGTGTCAGTGGGTGTTACATCTTGCTCAGAATTAGAATTCTCATTTCCCTGCCTCTTGAACAGAGAAAGGGATTATGATCTCCTCTGTAAAGTTAACCCAGATCTCAAGGTGTAGGCTTGATGTGGAAGATGAGAGCATAATAAATCTATAGGATGTGCAGGATGGTGCTGCATGAACACTTTATATAACACATCATGTAACCCTCTCTTCCTTAGCTAATACAGTTCCTTTATATAACACACTGATTTTATTGCCTAATGTGGTCTCTCCCAGTTGAAAATACTGATGAATACCAAATACCAATTGAAAATATTCTGTTAGTGATGTTATCTGTGACAAATCTGATTTATAGGGCCGTGCACAAGCCCCCCTTATTCCACTGAGTGGAATTTCCTTGTTCCGTGGGCTGAGCGAGATAACCCTGGGTGAAGGAGGTATCCTGGATACTTTGGGGCTGATGTAACACGTCTGATTTATAATATCTTGCTAAAGTTGGCCTGAAATCTCACAGCGCTGGCATGCTGAGTTACAGATCAAATGCATAGGAAGGTTTAGGGTAAGGAAAGGAAAGACTCAACAATGAAAATCGCACACTGAATTTTTTTCTCCCATCACTTTCGGATAAGAAAATTACCATTAAAATATGGCAAAATTTGAGGGAGTGGAAGCTGCTTTTTTAGGTATTTAAGTATATAATCTGCTATTAGGTACCAATATCAAACTTAGGTAAAATCCACCAAAAATATAATTTTTGAACCGACAGGTCTCAGTTGTGTACAAATAAAGCTGTGCTGTAACTGGTAGATGGTGTAATGGGGCATTATCCTGGCTAGATACATCTTTAGTACATTACTCTTTGCGTGCATTTGTTCTAAGAAAAAGCAGTTGTTCACTAAAGAGGATGGAGAATGATTTAAGTGTTATTTTTGACCGGCTGATGCTCCCTCAGCCCTGTGGTTAGCACAGAACTGACTCACAGAAGATTCTGCAGACTTATAGGCTGTAAGTGGGAATGCCATCCAGATGAAAGTCTAAAAAGAGCAGCTCTGGATCGAGTTTCTAAATATCACATTTCTGCTCCGTTGCCAGTTTTCTCTATTCAAAGGTGTGACAGTATTTACTAGAGGATTGTCTGTTTGACAAGGTCACATGAAGGGTGTTGGTGTCTAAAAACGTAAAGACACGGTGGTGCTGGTTGTTCAGCGCAGGAACAGCGAACAAAGGACCGAGTTGCTGTTTTAAACTGGCAAAGCTACGGAGCTTGAGAGAGAAAATGAGTGTGTGAACTTGATATTGTCCGTTTGAACTGAATTATTTTTTAAAAAAAGCGTTTATGCTTAGAGATTATTACTATTTACAAAATAAAACGCAACCTTCTGCTTAAAATTAGATTAATTTCTCTAGGTGTTACTACTGCTTGAGTATTGTTTAACTGAAAAAAACATTGCACTAGCTGAGCAAATAAAACTAATATGTGTTAGGGGTGTGCTGTTACGACTTTCATTGTTAAATAAGGTGTTGGATTGCAGTGGATGGATTAGATGAGAGAAGCAAGTAGCCCTCGAGGCAGGGCTGTTTGATGGGGGATTTTTGTTTGTTTTGCTTATAAAAGCAACTAAGCAGGACCTCCCTCCAGAAACACCATCTCTCTACTAAACTTTGAGTTTTTCAAACCAAATCCCCTCGACAGTTATAGAATCAAAGTTCTAGAAATCTCCAGAAACTTAAATGCTGTCAATGAAATACATTAGTAAAAGTATCCCCCCCTCATTTGACCTGGAACCAATTTAAGCAGGTGGGTGGGTTTTTCTGCTGTCGTATATCAGCCAGAAGGACAGATGAGGCATTTGAAGTGTTCTGGTGTGGAAAACCTGTATCTTTTCTAAGGATAGTGAGGGAATGTGGGAAGGCAGGAGACCCTCCCCGTCCAGCAGAGCACGGCAGGGTTCAGCTGGCCAGGGGCCCAGGTCTGTGCCTGGGATTTTGGGCAGCTGACTGCTCCCCTGGGACTGCCACCAGAGTGGCAGCACAGATGAAGGGCACAGGGTGACATCCTGCTGCTGGTTTTTGTGAAGGCTAGGCTGGCTTCCCACTGTGTCCTCCTTTTAACGTGCTGGCACTGCCTTTTCCACCTCCTAATTCGGAGCTGGAGTGGGCACGGGGGGTTCGAGGGGTTCTGAGGTGCACTCTGAAGGAAAATAACATCCAGCAGGGAGTGGAAAAGTATCTGCCTGTTGTCCTGTCAGATCCCTGCTGGCAGCAGAGCCTTTGGCTGATGGTTTGCTGCCCTGGCTTTGCCACCTGTGCTGGAGGGACAAATGGAGTGGCAAAGTCTCCTCCTCCTCCTCTGCTTCCAGTTCATGGAAAAGATGATCTTTGGGGGGATTCTCCGAGTTCCTCTTGGAGCACAGAGTTCCTCTGGTTTGGCTGCTGCCCAGGAGGAGCTGTGTGGACTCCCTGGGCCCTCCCTCCTCTCCCCCTCCAGCTTGCAAAGGTGGGTGTAGTTACTGGAGCTGCGAGGGGGGATGCTGGGTGTGGGTTTCTCTGTTTTGCCTGGGCTGTTCAGGACAGCCTGGAAGAGCAGAGAGCCCAAAGGCTGACAGGACTGGCCAAATTCCTTCCTGCAGCACCAGGGTGGCCAAAAGCACCATCTCTGCCCCGAGCAGTGCAGCTGGATTGTTCTCATCCTGCCCATGCCCAGGACAAGCAACCTGCCCTGTTGAAGAACTACCATAAATGCAGGGAGAAAAAGAAGTGCCTGGTACCCAGTACTGAAGGGAAATCCCTCAAAAAAGCTGATTTATAAAGAAGTTTGCCCTTTTTATTAAGCCTTGCTTTCACTAAGCTGAGATGGGGATGACCCCAACTCATGCTAGGGGAGGGGTAGGAACTAAGCAAACCCGTTGGAGATGACGTGTTCTGAGCTCATGGGGGAGCACAAAACATTTCATGCTCTCTCATGACCACTTTGCTTTGATAAGCTCTTTTTTCCCCCCCCCGTTAAACTGCTTTTAAGCAGTGGTGTTTTAAAGCAGTCCCTCTGAATCCTGTGGAATCCCAGGTGGGTGAGTGATGGAGATGGTGATGGCTCTTGGCTTTGCTCGCTCTCGCCCGCGGTACAACCTGTTCTGCTTTAGCTCGGGGTGCTGTGTCAGAGCTGGTGTGTTAATGTGTTTGCCTTCTTCCTCCTGCACAGATCATGTTTTGCACTCTGAACACTCACAAAGTCGACATGGACAAGCTCCTGGGGGCGCAGATCGGCCTCGAAGATTTCATATTTGCCCACGTGAAGGGACAGCGGAAAGAGGTGGAAATTCTCAAAACTGAGGATTTGCTGGGCCTTACCATTACAGACAATGGGACTGGTTGTGCATTTATAAAGGTGAGCTTAATTACCCCTGAAATACTTTGTTACTGTAAAAGGTTCATTATTGGTTTAATGATCCTTCAGAACTGTAAAATCTTTAGGTTCTTTACTTACCATATTTATGATAATAGAAGCTGCTTTTCTTTAGGTACATCATTCAAGATTGGTTCAGCTATTTCTGTTGCATGTCACTCCAAATTAGTTCATTTATTCACTGCTTCTGCAATGTGCAGCAGCTTTACAGCGTGACCATTGTTATTTCCCGACCTCCCCTGAGGTGGTAGGTGTTAGATAGTGCTTGCATCTGCCCCCTCCTGTTTTAAAGCGATTTTCTGATGTCACTGATGAGGTGCTTATAGAACTTCTGTGGCTCATGTGATGATGAGATCATGTTCTCCCAGTCTTTGACTGCTCACGGGGCACAAGCCTTTGTGCTGCACCAGAACGGGGGCAAGTTTAGTGCTTTGTCAGCTTTTCCAGTGCTGTTGCCTTGGGTAGGGTGAACTAAAAGGATGTGGATAAACACAATTTACCGCAATTGAGTAGCAGCTACGGGCAGTAACGTGCACCATATATTAATCATAATTGCTTCCCTTCCCCTCCTCTGCAGGACCTGCAGATAGCATGTTTTGAGACAAGTAGAGGCTGAGGAAATGATGCTACCCTTCCTGCTAGGCTGGGTGTTAGCAACCTTAATCACATTTTCTGCCTTTTTTAGATTCTTTGCTCTGATCTACTCCAATTATCCACTATTAGCGAGGCATTAGCAATTACTGCTAATTCCATCACTGCTGTCCCAACTGCTGCTCTCATTGCTGTTGTAAACAGAGCTCGTTGTGTGAAGAGCCTGGATTTTCTATTCATTCCTTCGCTGCCATGGATATAAAACAAGACTCGATTTAAGAAATCAGTTTGTTGGTAGCACAGAGAGACAGCAGCCATCACCCAGGCTGGAAAACCCCTCACCACATCAGCAGGGCGAGCTGTAATGTCCAGTCAGTGGTGTAAAACTTCTCTAAAAATATGATTTTCCCCGTACTGGTTTAATAGTAAGCACTGTAATGAAAATGGTGTCATCTTCATGGGAATGCATCAATTTTAGGTAATGGATCTTTAAAAGCAGCATAGAAAAAACACATGCAAAAGTAAAAAAACTGCATCTTTTTCATGCTTGGTTGCCTAGGTAGATGACTGAGCAGAGACTAAGCAGTCTCTGCTTCGAAGTTTGATAGAATTGTTTTTGTTTATATACCTATATTTGCCTTAAAAATTTACTAATTACCAGTTCTTACTTAACTACGAATATAAAGTTTACTGATTGGTGGGGTTGTGGGAAGTTGTTATGGGCTGTAGTGATTTTATTGCATTTTGAGCAACAGGGGTGATTTATAACCCAGTTGTGGGGTTGAGACATAACCCAGTTGTGGGGTTGAGACATAACCCAGCCACTTTCAAAGCTGGCATTCTGCAGGTGCTTTTCATATGAAATCTGACGCTGTTTTGCCATGCCAAGAACAAAATAGGAAATACTGATCCTCATAGCTTGAAATACAGGCCTAGCAGTTGCATCTTGACTCCTGGGACAGTGTGGCTCTGCTGCCTCTGGTCACTTGGAGCGACGATAAAAACTCGGTCGTAGGGGGAAAATGTTTGGTAGGACGCAAATAACAACCCAGAAATATTGCTTGGACAGTTTTGGTGTTGGGATCCAAGGAAAGAAGAGAAGCCAAATGACCAGGAGTTCAACACATAAACTAAACATTAACTGAAGGCTGGTGGGCACCCTCGTGAATGCATTTGGCACCTGTTTCTGGTGGGGCTGCGACGCCCACCTCGTCATTCACCGCCGGCCCTCTGCTTGGTTTCGATCTCTGGATCCAGATTAAAGAAAAAAGGGCTGGAAAGAGTTAAACTCAGGCTGAAGCTTGAAACTGTGGCAGTGTGTGTGATGGCAGCAGCATCACACTTCCCACTGCCTCTCAGATGGAGGCACAGGCGTGGGCTCGCCCACGGCACGGCACGGGCACCGGCAGCGGGTTTGGGGACAGCTGTTCCTGCAGGAGATGGCAACAAAAATACACTGTTGATCTGCTTTTGTCCCACTGTCACCTCACTCACACTCAGCCTGAACAACTGAGGCTTTACCGAAGAGATGGGCGTTCAGGAACAGTCCAGAATGAAATTCCCACTTCTGCCGAGTGTAAGATGTTCTGCCACGTCACAGCTGTTCTGGTAAACAGCCAAAGAGCAGTGGTTTGTGTGGTGTGTGTGCACCTGATGAACAAATACGGCAGCATGTAGCAACAGTAAGCAATCACTGACGTTTTAAGTGTGATAAATCACAGAGATATTTTAAAGAATTTTTTTCCCCCCTCGGTTTTTAAATTTCACTTCACAAAACTTATAAATACTGACTTCTGTTGTGACCTTTAGGCCGTGTGTATTTTCCATGAGGTGGCATTTAGAAGATTTTCTTACTCTTCATTATTTCAGAAGAGCTCCTTTGATATACAGCTTGATGAGGAAAATGCTAGTTTTATCACTAGAGGTGGATCTTATTGAGATTGGCCCTTTATAGGATGTCATTTTTACCATATAACACACCTATTTTATGTCCCTGGACCGTACTTGATAAGAGAAAAATTCTGTTCCTATGCTTGTAAAGCTATTAAATCAAAATAACCCCCTCAACATTTATTAAACATTGACATTAGTGTTCAGTTTTAAAGCACAAAAAATATTAACTTATTCAGAACCTTTGATTTCTAAAGTATAGCTGCATTATTTTTTTTTCTCTGCTGATTTTTTTTTTTTAATTCAGTGCTTACTAAAATACTTTGATGCTTTTCAAAATAAGTTTTTATGAAAATCTTACAGACAAAACACACTGCTGGAATAACAAGCTCAGTGCTGTTGATGCTGTTAACTGAGGTGCTTGAAACTCTGGTGGTGTCACCTCTGAAAAGGTGTCACCTTGGAAAGAAATGTTCCTAAATTCTGTTTTGTTTCTCTTTCTTTTTTTTTTTTTTTTTTTAACACTAGAGAATCAAAGAAGGCAGCCTGATGGACCAAACCAAAACTGTCTGCGTGGGTGACCACATAGAGACCATAAATGGGAAGAACGTGGCGGATTGTCGGCATTACGAGGTGGCCAAAATGCTGAAGGATCTGCAGAAAGGTCAGCTCTTCAAGCTGGAGCTGATAGAGCCCATGAAAGCCTTTGGTGAGTGACGAAATCCCACACTGTAAACACTGGAAGTTTGTTTTCAGAAGGAGGTACCTCAGCTGCTCCATTGGTTTTTTTAGGTGTGTGTTTATTTTTTTAATTTGAAGTGGAACATTTACGAACGGATTTTCTTCTACCTTGCTTCCTCCAGCAGTCATCCTGGGGAAGGGTTCAGTCTCAGTCTCTTGTTGGAAAATAAGTCCAGGTACTGTGTCGTGGGTGCATTTTTGAAGCATGGATTGCCTCACTGATGTGCTGATCCTCAAAACTCCTTTTACCCAGGGGATCAAAACAGAGAGCGAGTTACCATTTTTATCATCTCCGTTTTTCACGTCCCTTCAATTTTTTTAGCATTTTCCTGTAATAAGAGTTTCAAAATAGCGCTAAGTCATAAATTTGTAGGAGGCTTTTTGCCCACCTGCAGTAACGGGAAGTTCGAACTCACCATCATCACTTCAGCAGCAAAAGTTTTACATGTTTATTTTTCCAATCTTCTTTGGTGTGTTAGTAGTTCACAGCTAATGCCATACACCAGTCTTGACACTTGGTGTCAGGATAGCAGCAGGAATTGAAAATGGGAGAAATGCAGGGATTTCTTTCTGCTTCTGGTGCTTCTGTGAAGAATGAGGGTTATGAGTTGATCTCCAAGGCCTTTGGGTATCAGTTGATAGTCCTGTTAAGTAAATGTGGGTGTTACACATAATGCTAAAGCAGTATTACATATGTATTAATTGCAATTAGTAATGCAGCAATACCCTTTTTTAATATGGGCCTATAATTTGTGTTCAGTGCTGTAAGTGTTACATTGTTTGTAAGGGCTGGGGTGAATCAGCATTTGATTGGTGACTTCAGCCATTACTTAATAGTATTTACTTTAACCAGGTGATTAAGAGACCTTTTAGTCTGCCTGTAGAGAAGGAGACCTGCTAATGTCGTGGCAACACCTTTTATCTGACACTGAATTAAGAGGCAATCAGAGCTTTGTGGACAGATTTTTGGAAGGTGCACGTCACCCTTTTCCCCCTACAGAAATGAATTTGCAAGCTGCAGCAGGTTAGAACACCCTGCTCTAGCCTCAGGGGCACTTGGGCTTCAGGCACAAATTTATTCAAGATAGTGTTTAAGAGAGAATGGCCCCAGAGGAGATGAGGAACAAGCTCCAGGTCCTGCTGGACAAGCAGGTGCTGAATTGCTGTTGGTTCCACCTGTGGCACTGCTGGCAATCAAATTGTTGTCTCAGCAAGACCTGCTTTGTGGGGGTGTTTGCACCCCTGCAGCAGTGAAGGATGGCAGTGTTGCAGTGCTGAGCCTGCCCTGTAAAAAGCAAAATAAACCAGCAGGTGGCTGGGGACTTGCAGCTGTTACCTAATATTAAGGAATAAACAGGCTTTTCTGTAGAATAGGGAGATAAAATCATACAAGGTGCATATATTTAAGTGAGTGCCATAGGCCTGCTTAGATCCACTGGTCAGTGGAAGTCCTAGCAGTGCAGCTGAGCAGAGAGTTTGAAGACAAGAAACTGTCAGCAAAGCTACACTTAGAATATAATTAACTTAGAATCTTTACATACTTTAGATCTCGATTCCAATAAGCAGTGAAGATAATATAATAACCAAAGCAAATGCATCCTATTCTGGTGTACCATATACTTAGTTTTGCTTGGTATTGTATTATTTTTTTTGTTTGTCTTGTCTTTAGAAAAGCTGGAACCGAGGTCCAGAGGTGGAGCTCTGCCAGAGGCCAAAATCTCCAGAGGGAGGGAAACGCTTCGCCTGAGGACCAAAGGCTCTGCCACCGTGGAGGAGATGGTATGGTTACAACCTGGGGACCCTCAGGAGTTCAGCTTCATTTACCCTCCCCCAAGGTGGGAAGGAAAAATCTGGGTGGGACAAAGACTGCCTTCTGCATGGAGAAATGCCTCTGGAAAACTGGGATAGGACGGGGCTGAGGAGCCTGGAAGCAGAAAACCTGTGTTTAGGTTTTGGAATCCATGAGTTATGTGGGTGAATTTAAGGTAGAATAGATCAGGGCAAGAAAAAGGGAGGGTAGTTGATGAATTGATGCCATTTCTGACACTGCAGAGTGTGTGGGGCCAGCGTAAGGCTTGTTGTTAGATGCTGATTACATGGGCATGAATATTTGTAAAACCAGGATCAGAGTTTGGTGAAGAAATGTTCTTTGTTCCGGGTTCTTCTAAACCTGGTGAGGATTTGATGAAGATCTGGATTGTCAGGAGATGTTTGAACACTCACACTTTGGATGTGTGAGCTGTGTGGCTTCGTGTGAGGAGGTGGGCTCAGGTTCATGAGAAGAGGGAAAGAGAGTGGAATAACCTGTTTTGTTTGCAGATTTTCTAAGTCTAGTCTGGCCAAGATAGGAGTAAGGCTAATCACTGACAAATCGGTGGTTCCTTTGAAATCTGCGTGGATATAATCTTACTTTTGCCCTTTCTCTCCCTTTGTTTCCACAAAGCCAAGTGAAGTTGAAGAAAAAGCGATTAAAAAAGTGGATGAGCTTCTCGAGACCTACATGGGGATAAGAGACATCGAATTAGGTGAGTTTTTAGCAAACACATTACTGCGAAATGAAGCAATTTCTCATTTCCTGAGTGCAGTCTAAAATTTATTGAGAGTGCTTTGATCTCTGGATGTAAATGAGGCAAAACTTGTCCAGCATACAGTCTCAAAAACTGCAAATGTGTGTGTCTGATAAAGGAGTCTTCCTCCCACTTCAATCCTTATGATGCAATTAATTAATCCTCTATTCCTCACATTATCTCCACACTGTTGCCTGAATTTTTTTAGCTGTTTGCCATAACTGTCACGCTGTGTTCTTTCTGGCACGTGTTTTCTAGTGGATCTCGTGTGTGCCACGATTAAGGATTCTTAAGGATAAGTTTTATTTGCTTTTTTTTTGCCCCTTGGCTTAGACACATCAAAGTCAGAAGTTGGCTGAAGTTGGAATCTGAGATCTTCATCAGTGAAAGGGCAGCTGTTTAGCAAGGGAGCTGACAGAGGAATTGCACAAATTTATCACATTCTCTAAATTCTGAAGAACATGGGAAAACATGGGATCTCGTGGAACTGCTGGTACTGAGACAAAGAGGAAGGGGATTTATTGTCATGGGAATACTTAACAAAAAAAATTTAAAATAAAATGAGAAAAAAAAAAAAGTCAGGCAAGATGAGCTAAATGGGAAGTGATCTTGAAAAGAAAGCTTTCCTGAGAGAGGAGAAGGCAAAGCAGAAGAGAAAATAGGTCTGGCTTGAAGCTGAAGCAGGGTTGGCAAGGCAGCAGAGGAATGAGAACAAAAGGAGGTTATCTGAACAGCCAGAAGTCCTTTGTTGGCTGCTCCTGCCAGCAAGAATGTGATTGGCAGATTCCACTGGTTTTCTCACAGGAAAAATTGTAGGTAAAACACTATTTTCCTTCAGTTCAAGCTAGAGGTGAGCTTGCTGGCACAGAAGAGAGGGCAGAGCTGCCCAAAACTTGTGAGTTCTGTTCTTTAAGCAATGCCTAAACTTTCTTCTTCCCAGAAGATAAAAGTTCTCCAAACTTCTGTCCCCAGCAGCTTTAGTATGTGTGTCATGTGCTCCTGGAATCCCTGTGTGGAACTGAGAGGAGGTTAGGGAGGATTCCACGTCCTGTCCCTCTCCTGCAGCCGTTGTGTCTCAGGCCAGCTGTCCCCCTGGGAGCTGTTTTTGTCCTGCAGCTGTTGCAGTTGGGTTTTTGGAGGCTCCTGTCCTTGCAAGCTTCCTTCCAAGGTCTCCAGGCTGCCTGCCCTGCAGAAATAACCAGCTGTGGGAACTGCTGTTCCCCGTGGGTTTGGCTCTCAGGATGGAACAGGATGGCTCTTGCACAGGACACTGAGAAGTTCAGCTATCAACGATCATGGCTGAGCTGATTGCCAAGCACCTGGTAGAGTTTTCCCATGAATTCTTTAATTTTCTTTTTTCCCCTCAAAGATCCAGTGCCCTTCCTCTTTCAGTGAGTAGTTTGGAAACTTTCAGAACACTCAAAGGAGGAAGAGAGGTCTTTGTTCTCAGAGAGACTCTCCTCTTCCCAACTGGGTGGTTGTTTTGTCCTCCACCTCTTCTTTTCCTCCCCAGAAGGTGTGGTGTGAGCAAGGAAAGCTGTCAGGAATCAAAGACTGGAGGGCCCAGGTAGCTTCAGTTTGCACCTTTGAAGCCACATCCCGGTGCTGGCAAAACTTTGTAAATTAAAAAAAAAAACACAATTAAACAGCTCCAGGACTCGTCAGCAAAGGAGAGCTAATCACCTGTCACAAATCTGTTCAATTAACACATGTCAGTTTTTCATGGGCTGGATGTGATCAGCCACCCGTGAAAATGAAATATGAGGGAAAGATTCATTCAGAGAGTGCCAATCACCACTTTAGCTAGAAATTTCCCTCATTACTCAAGCCAGATTAGTTGAAAATGCAAGTCATCACAATGTGCAGCTGACAAGTGATTAAGATCTCAATCACTGCTCACTCCCATGCAGTTCTGTTTGTCAGAATCCTTGGGATGGCAGTTAATGTTGCTCTTTCATCTCCCTTAAAATGACACTTCCACGGTGGGATTGAATTCTAAAACAGAGCCCCAGTTTTGAGCCATAAGTTAGAAAGGAAGGGGGAAAAAAAGTCGAATTACAGACAGAATTAAAGGTGAGATAAAGCCCTTCATTTTTGCAGAGTTAGGTATCATGATAGTTTCAAAAAGACTGACTAAATCTACACACAAATCCCCGAGTTGCAGCAAAATGCTTGGAAATCATTAGTGGAAATGTATGCACTTTTTTTTTTTTTTTTTTTGGCACAGTTTTTAACTTTCAGAGATCTAAATGCTACTGAGATTTATATACCTGCCTTTGGATGCACTTTTACCTTTTTACTTCTTTACTCTTTTTTACTGAAAACTGGATTCAATCCACAGAAGGGACGGCTGGCTCTGGAAATGTTTCCCTCAGCCATTTTATGGGCACAGAAGAAATTGGGTGAAGGCTTGACTTGAGCCTTCTTTGAAACATAAATGTACAACTGAGAAGTAATTCAGGTTATTTTAAATTCTCTGCTTTCTTGAACTGCTGATTAATGGGAGCAGCTCAGGAAAACAGTGAAAAATACTGGTGGCATTTAGTTTTTAAATCAGTAAGTCTTGAACTTTTATAGGCTGTATTTGATCCCAGAAATTCTGTGTGGGAGGAAGCCTGGATCAGTGGGATCCAACCCCAGAATGCTGCTGATGGAAAAAATGATGGCAGAAAGGGCTTCCTGTCACTCAAGCTGCTTCTCTTGGTTCACAAATCCAACCCAGCAATATCCAGTGCTTGTTTTTATCTCAAAATCCTTTAACTGGAGTGGTATTCTCCCTGAATCTTCTGTTTTCCTCTCCTTCTGTCACCAGGCTTTCATTTCCCAAGGGGATTTTATGGTATACACTCTGGGGTGTATTTTTATGGCTGAGAGAATAACGGGAATTTTGGGGGGGGGAAAAGGAAAGGCAGCAAGTCCAGTTAAATGAGAGAAAACTTCTCCAGTTCAAGAAGTATCAGTACTTCATAGAAAGGACCAGGAAATAATGTTTGTAATAGTACCTTAAAAGCCAGATATGACAATGTTCAACATGAAGCTTAAACCCAGGAATGCTGAATGTTGGAAACTGCAGGGACATGCTTCATTTTGGGCTTTATTTGTTACCTTTTGGATGAAGGCAACTTCATCAGAATAGCATTAAAGCTAAGTAAATCTTGAAGTTTCTGTTAAGATTTCTGTTTAACTACAGTATAGGACAGAGGTAGAAAAACTGTGTAAGGTGGATAATAAGAATGGCAGGCAGCAGGTGGCTTTCATGGCTTGTGCCCCTTGTGTTTATTAAAAGTGAAAATTAAGATTTCGTGAAAGGTCTTTGAAGCCATTTTAAAGGAGGAACTATTTTAAAAAAGCCAGCATTACTACTTTGTTCCCAGTCTGGAAAGCCTGTTGTTGAGCTTCTCAGTTAAAGTCGACAAGGCTTCGAATTCCTTTCATCACTTTTAAGACTGCCGAACTTTCCACGTTTTATGTAGTGATTTGTCAGGTTTTTACGTTACCTGAACTCAAATAATAATAATAATAATAATAATAATAATAATAATAATAATAATAATAATAATAATAATAAAAGAGAAAATCTGAGAACAGTTGGGAGCTCTCTTGAGTGTGGAAAATATTCTAAGGGAATAAAATCCCTGTTAATCACTGACTGTGCAGCTCTTACAGGAAGCGGTGGATGGAAAGGGAGGGGAGATGGGAGCTGTGCCTGGAGCGCATCCCTGCGATCCCGAGGGATGTTTGTCCCCATCTCCCGGGAGATGGGAGCTGTGCCTGGCAGCGCATCCCTGCCGGCGCTGGGGGTCAGCACCGCGCCGCATTCCATCGGCTGGAGCTGCCGATGGATAATCCCGGCACCTCCAGCGAGCCCTGGTGGCGCTGGTTGTTGCAGTTTGCTCGGTGCAGATTGAAGGCGTTTTGCTCTGAGGCAATCATGTTCTGGTTCTTCCTCGGCCAAGTTGAGAGTTGTCCTGATTGTCCGTGTTTAGTGGATTTTTTTTTCAAGTATAAGCTAGTTTTTAGATTCTGTTGTTTGTTTTTTGTTTTTTTTTTTTTTAATTTGGGAAGCTCAGCCTTAAAGGAGCACTGTTTGAATTAACACTGTATGTTAATGGCACTTTATTACTGTGCAGTTCTGAGGCTTCAGCTGGGGCAGCAGGACTGGGATACAGTGCTGGCTCACTGTTATGTGGCTCTTTCATATCTCTTGACCAGTTCATCTTAAAACTGGCTAAATTCTTTGTTCCCCCTCTAATTAAACATTTGTCTAGGTGCTTGCTCTGCTCATGGCAGCTTTTTTTAAGTGTCTTCTGTAACTATATCTTGACGTTTGGCCTTGTGTCACCTTGCACAGCTCTTCTCTCTCCAGTTTCCAGTGTGGACTGTGGCTCCAGCTTGCTTACAGCTTGGTACGTGTTTGCACAACAGCACCTACTGTTTGACAGAAGTTCCTGACTGTCAGTGAGCTGAGTTTTAGGCCAACAAAATAACATCCAATAAATTTACCAAAACTTCAGAGCAGGGCAAGTTTATTTCCCTTTTTACCAGAGAGGTTTTTGCCATGTTGATTCAATACCAGTGCAGATTGTCCCAGCGAAGATGTTCTTCTGTGGCTTCAAGACTTCCTTCCCTTTCTCAGGCACTGTAATGTGTGGTTTCCATTTGGGATATCCCTCTGGAAAAAGGCTGGAAGTTATCAAACCCTTGAGCGTGACACTTGAATTTGATGTGCCCGTGAAGAAAGTGATGGTTACTTGATGTACAGCAAAAGGTGGGGGACATCTTGCAGGTGTGTAAAGTATCCACACAATGAAGCAGCACAAACTTTCCCACCTCTAGGGCACTGTAAGTTAGATTTGATTTTCAGAGCTGGAGGTAGTAATAACTGAAGCAAACTCCTGCACTGAAATGAATTACTCCTCAGTTTGGAATGGTGTGGAAATCCAAGCAGGACAATAATGTGGCCCACAATAAATGCCTCAGTCCCTTTGCTACCTGGAGGTGTTGTGGCTTTGTTTTGTGGGTTTGGTTTGTTTGGTTTGGTTTGGTTGGGTTTTTTTTTTGTTGTTGTCAACAAAAATAAACTCAAGTTAATTAAAAATTAAACGAAATTACATTGAAAAATTAAGCAAATCTGCTTGAGGTCATACCATAATTTCCTGAGAACACAACCTCCTTCAGGCAGTTGCAAACACAGTGTCCAGCACTTGACAAACCAGATTTCCATTTTCTTTGTGCTCTACACCACACATGAGTTGAGCCACATTTGGATTCTGGTTTCCTGAAACGTTCAAGTGTTTATTTACCAGCACTCCTTTTCAAATGCAGGTGATGCTCAACATTGAAACGCTGAGGCTTGTAAAACATGGGCTGTTGCTGGCAAACCCATCCTAGATTGGTTGCATGTGTCTGTTGTGCGGGTTGTGTGTTGTTTTCCGTGTTTAAACCTTATTCTTTTTGGTTTTCTATGAAAAGCTTGTCCTCTTTAACTTGCTGAGATCTGTCCTTCGTCGTTTAGAGGAGAAAAACACCTGAGTTTCCTTTCTGGTTTTTAGATCAGCAAGGTCATATCAGAGTTGGTGAAGTTGGTGAGGACCTGGCACGGGTCTCGTTGTCACACAAGGGTTGTGTTTAACCTTGTTTATGGGCCTTTTTTTCCCCGTGCCATCAGCACAGAATACAATTTAATACCATTAAAACCCAGGGGTCAGCGAATTAACAATGAAATCTCTGCCGAGCAAACAGAAGAACGGGTATAAAGAGCACGCTCCAGGGGAGTTACTCCATCTTGTCACCCTTTCAGCCGCCACCATCGTGGAAGCCGGGCGGGACAAGGGGAACCCCGACGAGTTCGCCGTGGCCTTGGACGAAACCCTGGGGGACTTCGCCTTTCCCGACGAGTTCGTGTTCGACGTGTGGGGGGCGATGGGAGACGCCAGGCAGGGCCGGCTGCACTGAGGGCACGGCGATTCCCGAATATGGACATGAATAACTCAGGGGAGGGGGATTTGGGGTGCTCCCTGTAAGCGTTCTCACCCCGGGATTCCTTTGGCAAAGGGAGGTTTCCAAGGGAAATACGAAGGTGAACCCGCAGTTGTGACGGCTGCACGTTGAAAGGGTTTAATTTACACGCTGCGAGGGATGTCAGTGTGATCTATTTATACAGACATTTCTTACAATGATATATTTTTTATTGTGCATACACTTCGATATCCGTGTTCTGGAAAGCGTTAGGCAGACCTCAACAAGGAGTTTTGGATTATTTTAATCTCTCCAGAGAGGTTTCTGAGCTTGCTGAAGAACCACTGCTCTGCATTCATGTACACAGAGAGCTGAGACAAACCCAAAGCCTCGGGTTTTCCTGCACAGGTTGGTGTGTAAAAAAAAAAACCCCTGGTGTTTTGGCCATTCATTTTATTTTGAGAAATTAATGTTGTTTTATCCTCAGGGGGATAGTTTGTCTCGTTAAACTGATGATTTTTGGCTTGGACATTGCTGTAGGCAAAGGTGAGAAGAAGTTCCCCCTTTGAATAATATCTTTGAATGATAATTTGAGATTGACTAAAGCCTGAAAAATGTGCTAAACTAACTTTAGGTTGTCAGGATTTCCAATTAATGTTGTGCACGAGCATTTAACTGCTGAATTTTCACTAATAAATCAGAGATTATAGAAAATGAAATTAAACAAGAATGTGGGATCTGACCTGGGAAGGTGTCACAGATTTTTAGTATTTTTATATTTTCAGAAGAGAATAAAATAATAATTATTACAAAAGTGTTTTTTTTTTTTTCTAAGTCCCTTCCTTGTTGCTTTTCTTCTGAGGAAAATGTCTTTCACATCTCTGTAAAATAAAGACTATGCCAATAATTTTACACGTTCCATGTCAATGATTATTTTTGGGTCTCAAACCATGAGAGTTTGAAGTATCATGGAGAGAAAAAAAATCCAAACTCCCCTTCACTCTTTTGCACCTGTTATAATTAGTGAATTTTTTTTTTTTCTAGTTAGGAAATATTGCATGAATATGAGGGATCTTTGAGTGGGGAATAATCTCCAATTTTATAAATGCTGCTGGGAATGTTTTGCTCTCGTATCTCTGGTCTCAGGGCAAGCTTTCACATCATACAGATATTCCTTTTTAATGAGTGGTGTGGAGGTCATATATTTCAGGGTATTTAAGAAGTTCAAGGTGTCAGTACTGGTACCTCATCACCAGCGTGGGGTAAAAATCTATACATCCCTTCAAACAGGCGTGGTTGTTAGCAATTTCTGTGTGTAGAAATTGGAGAGAAAATACAGAGAAATAAAAATACAGGTAGAAAAAGCTGGGCTAATCTCAATAGGAGAGGTAAAATTGCATAATTTTACAAGAAAATGACAAACCTGAAAGTAAAGAAACTTGAAGGAGACGGTTAAATTTTATAAAATGCTCTTTTTGGGGCCTTGAGGGTATTTTATTTTGTGATGTTTTTTGTCATGTTTGATAACTGCAAGTCTGTATCTTTTGCAGTCGAGCACACCCAACTCTTGTACAGGGTTATTTTAACTGATGTGCTCATGGTCATGAAGGGTCAAAGCGTTGTGGGCCTTGTCATTTATTCTTTAAACTTCCAGGTGGAAAGGAAAAAGGAAATGTCAGAAATTCCCCATCGGTTTCACATTATGTAACAGCCCAAAGCCAAATTTTGTGGAAATGTTTGTGTGCGCTGATGTTGGTAACCAGCAGGTTGCTGATTGTGAAATAAATTGAAATTAAGAACTCCTGCTTTATAAAAAAAGTACCGTGGGAGAGCTGCGTTATGAAATAATGCATGAAATGGAGCAGATAACCCCTGGGGTTGTGGCCATCCATTTCATTTTGAGAAATTCATATTTTTCAGTCAGTTTTTCCCTCAGGGGGATCATTTGTCTCATCAAAACTGATAAAAGAGTGAGATAAAAATACTCTCTGCAGCTCTAACCCTGCCCAGAGCTGTCTGCCTCTTGCCACAGTGGCCCATCTTGTGGAGTTTATTTCAGATTTAAACGGTGATGGCAATTTTTACTCTTCCAATCTGCGTGCAGAGACTCCAGTAGTCTTTAGATGCAACAAGGGGATTTAATAAAGTCTGGTGTTCATCAAGTTCTGAGCTCATAATCTTAAAAATACGGTGAGCCATTAATATTTGACGCTTTTAAAGGAGCAAATTTTGCAAATGGCAGATGTCTCTTTTGTGGCACCTTTAGTGTGCCAAATTACGCTGGGCTTAAATTTGATTTTATGCAGCCCCGTTCATACAGCTGCTACTCAAAGAGCTATTAATATAATCAGTCTTTGGGGGAAAGTCAGATTTGCACCTTGAATAATGCAAATATTCTTATTTCTCTATATTATCTTCTTCACAATTAGTCTGTTGCATCTTTTTTTGGTTTTTTTTTTTTTTGAGATAAAGGTGATACAAAGCTTTCAAAGTCTGGTTCTTTGTGAACTTGAGAGTGAAACATTAACGTTAAAATTACCCTGTTTTTGTAATACTTTGTTAGATTTTTTCTTTTCTTCCCGCTCTTTAGCGTGAACTTCTGCTGAAGTTGAAAAGTTGAACTTTCAGGTGACATATTGTTTTTCATGAGAAGAGCTCTTGGAATTCTGTGTCTCTTCCAAAGTCTGAGCATTGTAGTAAAATGATATATTGCTCTTTTTAGTTTTCTCTTTTTGCCAGGAGGCCTCTCAGAACAATTAGAAGTCGATGTTTCCCCTCTTGAACTCAACTGCGCGTTTGCCACGAACTTCAGAACCCAACTGGAGCCGTAAGAGCTTCGTCTGAAATTCCTATTCAATATTATTTTCTTTTCCAGTTCTCTTGACTCGCTGTGTTTATGAGGCATTTTGCCTTTAGGTGTTGGTACACACTGAAAGCTCCCTGATTTAATTTATGAAAATACGAACAAATTTGTGCTTCTCTAACGGTTGCACGCCTGAACTTCTCATGGAGGCAGAAAGAATGAAGATAAATTCACCCTAATATTGAAAATTTTGATTACTGAATTTGTTTATGTTGACTTGATTTTTTTTTTCCCCTGTTTTCTTTTGGGAGGAATAATTAATGTGGTTTTTTTTTTTTTTCTTTTGAGCGTGAACTGCATTAATCAACTCCGTAAAAGAAATAAAGGACTTGAATTTCAGCTGAGCTCTAATTAGAGAAACGTATTGCACCACAACACCTGACAGCATCTAATAATCCAAGTTTCTGCTTACTAAAAGGATTGTTAATTTATTAAGTATTCCCAAATCTTTTTTTCCTTTGTCCTTTTAATAGGGAAATAATTTCCCAGGATGGTGAACAGCCAGGGAGGAGAACTCCTTGTTTAGAGGGAAAAAAGCTTTTAAAGGCAGACTTGGAGTTTACAAGTTGTGCTTGTGGCACAGATGCCCTAAAAACAATTTGTGTAATGCTTTCACTTGACAGCCAAGGCCCCAATTTGTACTTCATACACATAAACTCTCTCTGAAATGGGAAAGCAGACACGGGAAATCCACTCTAAATCATAATTTCCAGGCATTCACATCATAATATTGAAATCTCTCTCAAAACCCTTCCCACATCCTTCCCAAGCAGCCCTGATTTTCACCACGTGGGTTTCGCTTCCAGTGAGTGTTTTTACAGGTTATTTTATTTGCTGAGCTTATGTTGTGAAACCAGTGAAGCTTTTTTTGAGGTATCTGCCGGTGAGTTGAATTTTTAGTGATGAGATACAGAAACTGATAAAGAGGTTTATATATAAATTCCAGCTCTGTTGGAGATAGTACCTGCAGTGCCCAATGGATGTTTGTCATCAGCATGCACAATTTTGGTAGTGAACAAATCCTAACTGTGGGACTACAGAAGTGGAGGTTGACCTTGTTAACAAACCAAAAATTGCCTGTTGTTTCATGGCTGGTATGTTTTTTTAATCTACAGAGTGAACCAGGAAAGGAAGGCACCAACTCTGACCAGAATAAATGTTGCAAAGTCACAACTTCTGTTCTCTTTCCAGGAACAGAAGCATTGTGAATTGAGGTGGAGCTCCAGATAAATAAGCTATCAGTAGAAATGCTTTCTCATTTGCTAAAGAAATAGGTAATACCTTCCAAAATCAAGGCTAAGGGAATGTGGCTTCAATGTCAGCTGTCTATTCAAATATAGAGAATTGTGTTCTACCAACTGAATGTAGAATTTTATGGCAATTTTATGGTTGGAGTGAATTACAACTGAGGAAAGATTCCTGAAACTCAGCTCAGGTTGGTGGTTTGGTCCATAAGGTCCAAGGCAGCCTGAGAGGGAACCAGCTCTTCTCTTGAGCTCTTTGCTAGTTGTCAAACTGTTGGGCTGGGGAGTTTCCCAGAAGACTTTTCAAGAATTGACCTTGGGGACGATTTATTTTTTTTTTTTTTTTTTTTTTAATGAAAAAGAAGACACAAATGGCACAAATAAATAACAGGCTGAGGTTAAAGAGATTGCTGAGGACACCCGCTGGGAGGGATGACATGACTAAAAAGAATAGTGGAATGTTGCCCAACAAGATGGCCTTTCCAACGTGACTGCCGGTATTTTAATAGTTTAAAATGAAAGGTCACCACTTGGGGGACTGAATAACTGAGGGGAGCTCTTAATTGGAGATGCAAGATGAGAAATACCTTGGTGCACTAGTCATTCACTGAATGGCTGTGACCCACCAGGGGAGCAATGACTCTTGGTGTGCATCACAGGGGGGCAGGGAGCTGGGGGGTGATGCTGCCACCCAGGGCAGTGGTGGGGTTCTGATTTTCAGCAACGTGCCCAGTGCAAGCTTCCCCTGCTGCTCAAACATCAGGCAGACTTGGAAGAAAAGGCTTAGTCAGGTGATCACGAGAACCTTTAAAGAGTAAATTGAAGGTGCTGCATCTTTTGGTACAGCAAACACATCCAAGAAAGTGTGTTAGGATGGCAGAAATCTTGGA